TTTACGATGGATAATCTGTCTTCTTTAAGTCCACTGGTCAAGATTTCAGGCAAAAAATCTAAAGGGCGACAGAAAAATAATAATGTAAGACCATTTAAAGACACAATTCATAATGCACACAGATTTGGTTTGTTGATACCTTTAGCTTCCAGTATCTGGCCAATAGTTGTATTGTCTCCAGACATCAGGAACGAAAGGACAAACTGCATGTAAGCCATTCTAACATCTGGCTTTCCCTGGAAAATTAACACCATAATTAAAATGCAAATGTTATGTAAAAATGATGTGCTATTTAGAGTTTGTAAAGCACTTAACAGTTTTGTCTCTTCTCCGTGAGAGGCTGATGAGGCCTTTACTGAAGTGTATTTGACTGAAGACATCCCTCGCAGCCTCGGCACCCTGAGATACCACTGCAGACAGGAAACACAGACACTGGCGGACAAACCTGTCCAAAAAAGAAGGTACACAAACCACAATGAGTGCATTCAAAACATTTCAAATGATTCATTTTGCCTGCTTATCATATCATACTATAAAGATATTAACCCACAAATACCATAAAATAAATGCAAATATCTGATTAAGCTTTGCATAAGAAATACCTGTGATTCTCCGAATGTAGAGAGGACAGTAGAAGTTTCATGTGAGTGGAGACGGTCTTCCTAACTATGTTGGAGCCCACCATGCTCAACTGAGACAGATCACTGGCCGTCCGCAGCAAAATCATTTCTAGACTCTGAAATATCAGCATCATCTACAAAATATATTAAATGGAATTTAAGCTGTGATTATGATGCAAAAGTAACGATGCAAACAGTAAACTCTTTAATTATCGTCAATTGCAACTGAAAAGAATGAATGTTGGCAAGTCAGCATACAACATCTGTTTAAGTCTGCAGCATGAATAGTGTGCACAACATGAACATTTTACTGTATGCATGAAACACCTGGAGAAACTTCTCTATTTGCCAAAATGTAAATAAATCGTTAATACCACAATGTAAGGCAACTAGACCTTCCATTTCCTATGTGATGAAAGAACTGGAAGCCTATTCTCCCCCTTTCTTGACTCACTGCATGATTATGGACTCTTAAAAGTAAGACATTTCACACTAAAGTAAATGGAAAATGCAAAGCATTTCTGTAGTCAAACTCTGTACTCAAAGAGTAGAACGTGGCACTAACAATGGCAAGGCCGTGGGTTTGATTCAGGGAATGCATGAACATATTGAATGCTGTGTAAATGTATCCTGTGAATGCCGTACAAGTTGGATAAAAGCATCCGTCAAATGCATAAATGTAAATGTAATGTAAAATGTCCGTGATTCTTAGTGAGATGATGCTGAAATCTACATTCAAAGCAGTGAGGCCATGATTGCATAATGTTTTATGTACTATTTATTACGAATAGCAGGCATTATGCAGTGTAGAAAAGTACACTAGTGTAAGGTCCGCGCACCTGGTCCAAGGAAGGTATCCAGTGG